TGTGTTTAAGAATTCTATTGGGTACATCATATACTGATCGGCTATGTCTGAGGAGGCCTTACAAATCTCATCTGAACTCTTGTAAGTTTTGGTTTCTGCTTCAAACAAAGAGAACATGTAATCATTGATTGTGTCAGCAGTCTCATTCAATGGAGTGAGAATGGCTCTCTCAATTAAGTAGTTTTGGTCATCATGCATGGTGTCAAAATTTGGATAAGTGTTGGAGATGATTTGATGTATTGGATTTTCTGCCCTTGCTATTAAAAATTCGTCTGGTATTTTTATCCAAGTTGCATGCTCCTCACCTTCTTTTACAATCGCTTGTATCTTCCCATCTCCAATGTCCAGCAACCATTTATTAAACTGTTGGTTGGCTACATCAGGTAATCCTTCTGCATTTGTTTCAGATACTCGCATGTTTTTTTCCAAAACAAAGACTTCACAACTTTTCCAAAGATAGGACCTGTTTATGCATGCTTCAACAATTTCTTGTCTCTTGCCTTTTGGTATAACTGGTAGTATTTGCCTAAAGTCTCCTCCCAAAACCACAATGTTGCCTCCAAAAGGTTTGTTTCTTACAGCCTTATCTTTGAATCCTATTATATCTCTGAATGTTTTATCAACTGCTTCAAAAGCATACCTTTGCGTCATTGGAGCTTCATCCCATATTATCAAAGATGTCTGCAATAATAATTGAGATAAATTTGTATTTTGTCTTATGCCACATGTACTATTCTGAAATAGCTCAAGTGGGATGTCAAATCGGCTGTGTACTGTTCTGCCTCCAAGTAACAATATTGATACGATACCTAAATGGCATTTTGACATATGTATAAGTTAAAGTAACACTTAAATAAAATTGAAGAAAATAATTTAATATTTTGTCCAAACCTGACGAAGCCACGGCCAAAGCTATTTTTCTCTCAGATCTCAGTCTTGATAGTATTGTTTTGTACAAAAATGTCTTTCCTGTTCCTCCATGTCCATAAACAAAGAAGATGCCTCCTTCCTTTCGCTCCACTACATCAAGTATTCTGTGGTATATCTTTCTCTGCTGGTTATTTAATGAGATGTAAAAGTTATCATGATCTGCTTTCATCTTCCTAATGTCGTAATTGAGCTCTTCTTTGATCAGCCTATTATCTGCTCCAAATAAAAGATTCATGTTTGGTAATGGCATGCCATTATAATCGGACAATGATTTACCATTGCGATTTAGCATTCTTTCAAGCTCCAACAAACAATAGTTCTTGATTTGGTCTTCTGTGAATTTCAAGTTTGGGAAATTGAATTGATGTACCAATTTGAATGGTATGTCCTCTGAAAGTGCTTTCCAATTGACTTCCCAAAATTGGATTGGGTCATTTACTTCACAGAAAAGTAGAATTGTAATGAACAATTCTCTTACTTGAGGTCCAATCGCCCAGTGTCTCGCATCATTCCATTCTTTGTCGTCACTAATTAATCCAAAAGCATAGCATGCCTGCTTGAATGTTGTGTGTTGTGTGCCATTCACATTTTTGAGCTCCTCATAGGTGCGAGGTCCTCGAACAACATTTAATAGAATAGGCAAGTAATACCTTTCTCTAGATGTAGGGTGTGCATATGTAATTCTTCCAATTGTTCGACCTCTCTTTCTTTTAGTCCATTCTTTTCCATTCCAAACAAATTTTGTTGAGAATTCTGCATATGTCAATGATCTAGTCTTCTTGTTTTCTACATTCATTTCCATCCATTTGGTGAACATAGTGTCTTTGACCCCTTCTTGTTCGATGGCCTTGGTAAGACTTTGAGAATCTCTTAATATCATCTTTTGCTCATCTTTTAAGTGGAAAAACAATCGCATCATTGACGGATTCCTGTAATGTATATCAAAGTGGAAGATTTTCTAGCAAGCTTCACATCCTGAGAAATATCGACAGTCCAAGTATTGCTTGATTTCATCAACTGGAGCTATTTTGACAACTTCATTTTCTGTGATTTTGTCTTTGTTGATGAAGACATTATCTTCTATCACAATCATACTTCTATCTGGGCCTTTAGTTATATACTTGAACAGGTACTTTATAGCCTTTGACTTATTGCAAACTTCAACATTTATATGTGCTTGATATCTAAGTAGCAAATATTTGTTGTAAGGAACTACATACCTATTTTCACATAAAATGGAATCATTGTTAGTCATATACTTGGATAGCAAATTTATAGTGTTTAAGATATTTGAAACTTTGAATTTTATATGTGCTTATTACTCTAATAATAAATCATTATTATTGAGAACCACATACATGTTGTCAAGTAAGATGCCACCTTTTTTAACAGTTCTATTATCATCCCTTCCTTGATAAATTGGGAATCCTTCTTCATCTATTGTTGTTTGGTCATAAAATCTTTTTGGAAATCTTTTATTGCAACGACCGTCCACCATGCATGGAGAATGTTTGTTTGCAACTCCACATGGTCCATGCATCATAAATTGTGACACAGCTGCATATGCTTCTTGATCTGTTTCCTTGCATGGTATTTCTGCTGAGACAAATTTGTCTATGTCTTCTGGGCTTGTATTTTTATTTTTTGGATCCAACCAAAGTAGTATATGTGCATGTGGGCGTCCTCTTTTTTGGAACTCAATCATGTACATGACTGTTAAAAAATATAAATTTTGATTAATCATTTGTAGTATATGGTATTAAATTGATGTATATAAGTGAACTTAGATCATACCTCCAATAACTGTACCAAACGCTTTCTTTTCTGTGATGTCTTTCATTAGCTGTTCAAGCTTCAATTTGAAAACTCGTGCTTCAATGTCAGGTCGATTTTCAACATTTTGACCAGGTATCTTGTTGAGCATGTAGTTGATCTCAGGCCATTTTTTGTTTGATGTGAAAATGATGAATAGATCAGGATATCCCAAACTTCTACAAATTGCCATTGCATCTTGATAATTTTGTATCATGTATCTTGGGCTTCCTGCAAAACTTGAAGGTAATATAATGTGCTTCCCAACAGATTTTGCCATTGCATCCCCTCTAACGACTGTGTCACAAACATTTTTGTAAAGTTCCATTCTCCATTTGTCTTGTTCATTTCTAGCATATCGTAGACGCTTTTCTTCAATTGCTATGAATGCATCAACCACAAATTGTTGGAATAGCCGCCCACCTAGTATCAATGTGTTTCCTTCATTTCTCATGTATTGAATGATGTACCCATAATATTTACTCATTGTTAGAGTTTGTCTTTTTTGTCTTGCGCTTTCCTTCATTTTTATGGTAAGGAATTCCAACATGATAGCCGTCTTCTCCATAAGGGAATAAAATGGGATATTGTAGTGCCATGAAAAGTGGGTGCAACTCTGTGATTCTTTTTAGTCCCTCGTATTTATGTTCAACAACTACATCTCTTCCAACTTCACAATTCCCCAAGTCCCCAACTATTAGTGCTGCCACTTCAGAAGTCGTTGGCCTTTCATAGGTCTTTGGATCTGATTCCCTCTTTCCAATCAAACGAATGCCCAGTTCAACATTGTCTGAATTTTTAAATCGGTCCCTTGCTGATCTGAATACTTGAACAATGGGATTATGTGTATCAAACATTTCAATCAATCCTTGTATTATGCTAGGATCCAAATCATCACCATCATTAGTGTGCAAACACTTCATCCT